ATAGAAGGCCACCAGGTTGGTTTGACAAGACCTTCCCCTAATGAACCCATGCTGGTTGTCCCTGAGCATAACCTCCCCTGCTGGCCCTTCCTGGACATGTGCCAGGATAATTCTTTCGAAAAGCTTCCCCAGGACCGAGGTAAGACTCACGGACCTATAGTTTCCTGGGTCCTCCTTCCTCCCTTTTTTGAAGATGGGGACCACATTGGCCCTTTTCCAGTCCTTCGGCACATCGTCTGAGCACCATGAGCACTCGTAGAGCTGTACCAGAGGTCCCGCAATGACCCCTGCTAGTTCCTTCAGCACTCTGGGGTGGAGATCATCAGGACCTGTGGATTTAAATACATCTAGTCCCTCCAGAAGTTCCCTGACAAGGTCCTCATTAACCCTAGGCCTGGATGTGCCACCCACAGGGCCCTCGGGGGGGGCAGTGGGGGGAGATATCCAGGTCCCTCCTCAGAAATACGGAGGCAAAGAAATTGTTGAATATGTCAGCTTTGTTGTCTGGTGCGACAACCAGTTTTCCTAACGTGTCCTGCAGAGGCCCCACGTTACTTGGCACCTTCTTTTGCCCCACTATGTATTTGAAAAAAGACTTCTTGTTGTCCTTGATCTGGGTTGCTAGTCCCAGCTCCATTTCCGCCTTGGCCTTCCTGACCACCCCCCTACATTCCTGAGCTACCGAGGTATAGTCCTCTCTTGTGATGGCCCCTCCCTTCCAACGGGTGTACGTCTCCTTTTTTGTTTGGAGACTTTCCCGGATGCTTTTGGTGAGCCATGGGGGCCTTTGCGCCCTCTTGCCCCCTTTGATTCGTGTAGAGATTACTTCCCTTTGAGCTTGGAGGATCGTCTCCTTAAGAAGCTATCACGCCTCCTGGACACTCAACTCCCTCCAGCTCTGGGACCTCAGTGCTTCCCCCACTATTCTTCTTACCTCATTAAAGTCCACCCTCCTGAAGTCGAGAGCTGCTGCCTTGCTGGAGGCTTTCGCCACCTTGTGCTGGATGGTGAATTCCAGCAGACGATGATCGCTATCGCCTAGGTGGTCGAGCACCTGCAGACCCCGTACCAGGTCGTCGCCCATGGCCAGGACCAAATCCAACAAGGCATCTCCCCTGGTGGGGCTGTGTACCTCCTGGGTTAGATGGAGGTCCTGTATGTCAGTTAAGAACCTGTGTGAGTGGTCAGACCTGGCTGTCTGCTCCTTCCAGCAGATGTCTGTCAAGTTTAGGTCACCCATGACGACCACATCCTTGGACCTAACTATCTCCGTGAGCTGACGTAAGAATTCCTGGTCTTGATCTTCTCCTTGGTTGGGTGGTCTGTAGTAGACCCCCACAATTAAGTCCCTTTCTCCCCGACCCCCTTGTACTCTAACCCAGAGCACTTCCCTTTGTACCTTCCTACCCCCCACCTGTTCCTTCCTACCCTTCCTACCTGTCCTATCTTTCCTGTAGAGCCTGTATGCTTGTTCCCCATGCTGCGGGCATTAGTATAGAGGCATTTGAGGCCTCCTGAGGATGAAAGGACCGCCCCCCTAATCCCAGCTTTCATCTAGGATGTCTTCAAAAAGCAGGTTTCTCATGGAAGCACCACACTCCCCTTTCCCTGTAATGCAGAGTTCTGCTTTGTGTGATCCTCCTAGGACCGCCCCCCTAATCCCAGCTTTCATCTAGGATGTCTTCAAAAAGCAGGTTTCTCATGGAAGCACCACACTCCCCTTTCCCTGTAATGCAGAGTTCTGCTTTGTGTGATCCTCCTGC